CAAATAAACATGTGTAAACGAGATTTTATATATTTATATATATTTATATATTATATATATTTTATATATATAATATATAAAATCCAAATTAAAGGTAATTTCTCGATAACTCCTGTTTATTTGGTTTGAAATAAAAAATAAAAACACTCTCACACACCCACACACACAGACATAAAAAACTATAAAGTGCAGATAATAAAAAATACTGAAATGTTTACTAATTTAAATGAAAACAAAACGTAATTATGAAATGTAAAGAGAAATATCAACTTTTAATTAAAATGTACACCTACCATATTCACTGGGCTTTGAATCTAGCTTAGAAAATTATTCAATTATTAATACTTTTTTTTTTAATTCTCAACAACTAAACTAACACTCAAAGTAAATGTGGCATCTTCAAACTAGTGTACAGATCACAAGTCTGCCATTTTCACTACATTTATATGTTTTAAAATGAACCGGTTGTACTTCTGCAAACAGTTCAGATAGTTGTGCAACTGTAACCATCTCTGAAGTCAATACATTTGACGTCCATAAGCTTGATTAAGAAAGACAATACACTTCAGTCTTCAACACCTCGCAATAGACATTCACATGACGCTCCTAAAACTACTGAAAAAAACAAGCAAAGTTCAGGTGGCAGGTGAAAGATCAGCACAACAGCGGTAATGTCATCTGACTGCTGCTATATTTTCCTCTCAGAAGGCAATAACCTGTCCCATTAACTCCAAACACAAACATCAACCACAGGAGTCAAACCCGGAAAGAGAGAAATCATTCATCTGACACACTCTGGGAAAAATAACATAAAGTGAATACAAGTAAAGCCTTTAAATAGATAGAAACCATCATCAGATAATTGATATATAGCTTTTAACAATGGCAGATTTTTTTAGAAATGGTATTTAATGGAATTTTTTGTAAAAAAAAAAAAAAACATAATAAATGAAATCATAGCAGCTGATTATTACAAAAAAACAAGAATCATTTACATTCTCGGAATTCTTAGACATGTGAAGCTGAGACATCCTCTGATCTCCATGACAGAGGAAGAAGAGAGAATGGAGGTTTTATTGGCTCATAAATGCAGTCACTTCAACTCATAAACAGACACACAAACATACAAACCCCACACTGCCAACCTGTGCTGCTTGGAGTTGACTGTAGGAAACATTTAATTGTTCATTTATTATACATAATATTAAATATATTACTATAATAATAGTAAACCTTATGTATATAGACACTATATAAATGTATATTTTTAATTGATTACAACTTAATTTCAGTCATCAGATAATGCCTCGACTTTGTCATTCACATGTAAAAAGAACAAATTTTGTAGCATTGGCTCTGCAGTTTTCATAAAAATAACCCCTATAAATCATATACACAGCAGCTGATGGATGGTTCTTATCGTCAGGCAGATCTACAGTGCAAATCACAACACTGCATACCCAGCAAGCCTTTTTATTTTTGTTTTAATAGATTTCTAATAGATGTCTATTCTTGTCAAGTCATCTTGGCTAAAAAAAGGCTAAGTTTGAGCTGACAGCGAAAATCTAATCGACGTCTAACAATAGGGCAAAACTAGACTAGTCATCAAATAAACAGAAATGAATGACTACACATATAAAGTCTGTCTAATCTGTCTGTTTGACTACTAGTCTAGTTTTGGGCTATTCTTAGACGTCGATTAGATTTTCACTGACAGCCCAAGTTTAGCCTTGTTTTAGTTAACTTGTCTATGTTTAGATGTATATTAGATGTCTATTAAACACAAAATTGTTTGATGGGTACAAAAATAAAATAAATAAATAAATTATGACTGGATGGTAAAAAGTTGTCTCTAGAAGACTGGGAAGGACAGTGAGGTGGATTACAATTTCTTGAAGCTATTAATAAATAAAAAAAGAAGGAAAATTCACAAAACAAAAACAAAAAACATCAAAACACCTGCACCCTCCCCCAAAAAAACACAAGCATAAAAAATGTAAAACAAAATAGAATAAAAACACAACCCCCCACCAAAAAACTAACAAAAAAACAAACAAAAAACAAATATTACATTAAAAATTACACATACATTAAAAACAAAAATACTAAGAAAACGAACCCCCTATCAAAAAACCACAAACAAATTGTAAAATAAAACAGAATACAAAACAAAACCGACCCCCAAAAAACATAAACACAAATACTACATAAATTAAAAACTAAAGAAATTATATAAAACAAACCCCCTTTCAAAAAAGCAAGATATAAAACAAAAACAAAACACACTAACAAACAAAACACAACAAAAACAAACTAAAGCAACAAAATACAACGTGCAAAATACAACCTCCACCCGTAACACACAGACACACACACACACACGCACACACATATACACACACACATATACACACGCACACGCACACACACACACACACACACACACACACACACACACACACACACACACACACACACACACACTCACTCTCTCTCTCTCTCTCTCTCTCTCTCTCTCTCTCTCTGAAGAATCCCATAAAGTTAAAGTCCAACATACTTTGTTAACCTGAAGGATTTTTTCCATAATGATTTTTACAGGAACTCAACCCATTACATTATGCATGTGATGTGTTTAACAGTTGAAAGACATGTCTGCAAATTTACCAGAATAAAGAACTAGTTGTAAATGTCTCTAAAATAAACAACGATTTTTACATTCATTAATTTTCCTTCGGCTTAGTCCCTTATTTATCAAGAATTACCACAGCAGAATGAACCAACAACTATTGCAGCATACTGTATGTTTCACGCAGTGGATGCTCTTCCAGCCACAACCCAGTACTGGGAAACACCCATACACTCTCACATCCACGCACACTACGGCCAATTTTGTTTACCCAATTCACCTATAGCACATGTCTTTAAACTGAGGGGGAAACAGGAGCACCCAGAGAAAACCCATGAGAACACGGGAAGAAACATGCAAACTCCACACAGAAATGCCAACTGGCCCAGCTGGGACTCGAACCAGCAACCTTTTTGCTGTGAGGCTACCCACTGAGCCACATGGATTTCTCCATGAAAAATTGATTACTCCAGTGCAAAACAAAACTATTATTTTGTCTAACAGTGAAGCATTCTTAACCCTTCCACATAAAGAAGCTCACATTATCCTTTGCTAACACATCCATCTTTTAGCTTTTCTCAATCTAAGCATGCTTGTTTACCTTTCCCTGCGCTCTACGCCACAGCATGTAATTACCAGCAAGTAAAATCATTAACACTACAGCTTTAGCCCCCCCTAGCCCAGGCCCCCAAAACCCCATTCTGTCCTTTTCCCACCTCGCCTCTCTTTACCCCCGAGCTTCAGATCCAATCTGTCTTTTCTTTCAGCTCTCCTCATTCCCTTCATTCCTGAGGACGGCTGGAGTCTGAACTTCTGCAGGGCCGAGGGGGGCGTTAAAGGGCTAAATCCCCCGAGAGAAAAGTGGTAGAGATACGTACAATGTCAGAGCCGGGAGAAGGGGGTGCCGGACCCCCTACCTTCACGGGTCATGTTGTTGTGACCACATCACAGTGAGTGTCAATCATGAAAAGCACAGAGAGGCCTTTCATGGGCTGGTGAGGGTCCCAGTGATGTGGGGTATTCCCTAGACCACCTCCATGTCGCCACACACACGAACAGCAGGCTATTCACAAAATCAAAACAACACTAGTCAAACAAATCTCTTCTTTAGCTTCAACGAGACCTGGATGTGATGCATTTACCTAAAGCCCTTTGAAATATGTTTTTAATTTTATTTTTTGGGGATTCTGCATTTCAATTTTCCAGAAATAGTTAAAATACATTTTAGTAATCAATACGCCTGATTGAAACCATCAAATTTATCAAACTAAATGAATATTTTAGGCATTCAGTTTAAAGTCTGCATGAACTGGAAGATACTTTTATTTTAGTATGTTGATGTACTTTAAATGAAATGGAATATTGGATAGGGGGTTGGTTTTTTGTGCATCATACTCTCATAGCAAACTAACAGTACGAAGCCGACAAAAACTCGCTTAGATAGAGAAAGATAGCCACTCTAAACACAGAAGTAAATGGTCAGAATTTGATTGAAGATTACCAAAATATTTTTTATTCAGTGGATCAACTGTTCACCAAAAGAACAAGGTACCTAGGTACCCTAGGCTTT